TATATTCTCTAAGTGACAATTTCACAAATTTACTTTTTACTTTTTTTTCTCTAGGATAATAATATACCCTTTTTGTTCACAAATATATATGTGGCAATACTATTTTCGATATGCCTTTTTTTTAATTTGTATAAAATTTCCTTATATTTAGACTTACATTAATAGTACCCACATCCCTCGGCGGCTGCTCCAACTGGTAGAGCTCCTTTTCCTTATTTTGTACTCGGGGGCCTCGTTTCCGTAGATGGGTGATCGATTTTTAGCTGGCGTCGGTGAATGGCGTCCAGGAAATTCTTAGTTTCCTTTTCACGCCCGTGATGACTGAGACTCGTAATTTTACTGTCCTTTTGTACCACTTGTCCTATTAGCGGTACTTTTTTATTGAAGTCGCTTTGTTTCGCGGCGCTTTTTTTATATTTAGCGGCACTTTACAGCAACTTTTACTTCGCGGCGCTTTTTTTTATATTTAGCGGCACTTTACAGCAAACTTTTACTTCGCGGCGCTTTTTTTTATACTTAGCGGCACTTTACAGCAAACGTTTACTTCGCGGCGCTTTTTTTTATATTTAGCGGCACTGTTTTCTTAAAGAGTTACTTTTAACTTTCGCCTCAACTCACCACTTTTACCGACCCGGCTAAGCTATTTAGCTCGGGCGCCACTTAGGTCTTTGAGTTGCGAAAAGACCAAAAAAATATGAATTTTTTCGAGGAGCTGTTTGCTCCGTTTATTTTCGAAATGCTTTTACAACTGAATTCTAGAACTCTAATAATTTAACTCTAAGCCTTAATTCTAAAGCTGCGCTGCATCAACATTCCATTCCCACGGGAGCGTAGACGCGTGGTCAGCACTTTTAGTTTGCGCGTGCAGTATGGCCTTCAGGTGAGGTGTCATATCACCTGCATTCCACTACTTTGGGCTATTGTTGTTGTTGGCAAAGGCTAGCGTATTTGGTGCTAACTTATACTTCAGAGTGAAAATATTTATTTAAGCGTGCTCAAAAAAGTTTAATTATTTAAAATGAATAAAATCCAAAAAATTTTTCAAATAATGAATGTTATGTTCATGATGATAAAGACGTTTCTCCTAGTGCGTTAACGTTTGAAAAGGAGGTGGTGGGTAGGCCCTGTGAACCTCACCAGGGAAAACCTTGGCTTTCACACAACCTGTTTTGCCCAACTCAAGCTGAAAGATGAGGGTGATTTTTTTAAGGCAACGAGAATGACCGTGCCCAAGTTTAACGTCCTTCTTACGTTGCTTAGAGAAAGACTGCAACGTTTTTCCAGAAGAAAACCAGTGGACGAGGAGACACTTTTGAGTATTACATTGACGTAAGTTAGCGCTAATAAGAGAATCGCATGTAAACATACACTACATACATATCTGCAGATACTTATCTCAAGGCTGTAGTCCACAATTTTTGGCATGGGCTCATAAGTTAGGCGTTTCCACCATAAGAAAAATCATTTATGAAACCTGCGATGCTATTTGGAATGAGCTGCAGTCAGAATTCGTTGCCCAACCAAATCGAACAGAATGGAAGAACATTGCGGAGCGGTTTATTTAAAGGATTTTAATTTTATACAAACATAATTTGTTATTTCGCTTATAAAAAGGTTTTATATAAAAAATGGAATGCCGCATTGTCTCCGCGCTGTCGATGGCAAACACATCAACATAGTTTGTCCAAAACGCAGTGGATCTCTTTATTACAACTACAAGAAGACATTCAGTATTGTACTAATGGCTTTTTGTGATGATAACTACACTTTCGTCTTTGTTGATGTTGGAGCATTGGGAAGCCAAAGCGATGGTGGAGTTTTCGCGCGCAGTACTTTTGGCAACATGATATTAAGAAACAGCCTTGAGCTTCCTCCAGATGACTACCTTCCTGGTAACTCAATGTTTTTCATGAAATATATATCGGCGATACCTCCATCGTCAGCCATGTTACTGATAAAATTTAATTGCTAATTTACATACCGACACCTGAGTGGAAGATCGACTTATCTCAACAGCCAGTTAGAAAACGCCCTATCAGAGAAAACTTTTCAAAACCGCCCTAATTTAGAATTCGGTTCAAAAGCGCCCTATCTCTGCTGCTGATTCGTAAACGCACTATCTCAACATATTTTCAGTACATTTTCAGTTGATATAAGGCGTTTTTGAATAAACTTCTGAAATGGGGTGTTCTTGAAAAGTTTTCTGAAATAGGGCGTTTTTCAATCAAATTCTAAAATAGGGCGTTCTTCAATCAAATTCTGAAGTAGGGCGGTTTTGAAAAGTTTTCTGAGATAGGGCGTTTTCTAACTGGATATTGAGATAAGTCGATCCACTCAGGTGTCGGTATGTCAATTAGCAATTAAATTTTAAGATATTTTAACTAGGTACAAATACGATATTTCCTTATTATTTTGTGGGAGACAACGCATTTCCTCTAAAGAAAAACTTAATGCGCCCATACCCAGGTCGGAATTTGTCTCCAATAAAACAAAATTTCAACAAAGAGCTTTCATCTGCTAGAGTTCACATTGAAAACGCATTTGGTATCCTAGCAAACAGATGGAGAATACTTCACAACACTATTCACGCATCACCAACAGATGTAGATAAAATTGTGCTAGCAACAGTAGTTTTGCATAATTTTTTAATGCTAGACAGAAACAGCGGTTATTTCAATGAGAATTTTGTAGATCACATTGAAGATGGTACTTTTACTCCAGGAACATGGAGGCAATCAGGTTCTAAAATAAGATCCATACGCGTTTCCCAGGCAAATCGCTCGTCAGCAGAAGCTTTTGCATCGAGAGAAGAACTGACAGAACACATTTTTAATAATTATTAATTATTTTTCTAGTTTCTATTATTTTGACCTTAGGCATACACGCCGTGTCAAATTTATAAATGCCCCGCATATTGACACGTTTTAAAAATTTAATGTTTTGTTATTTAGTTTTCGTTACTTTTTTATATATTAGTATTAATCTGTAATAAAAACCGCATAAATTCAGGTTTCAAACTTTGTGCAATACATAAATAAGTCAACAAACTTTCGTTAAAATTCCAGGCCTTTGATTTTGATTGATTTCTTAGAAAGATTTTGGGTAAGCTAGTTTTTAACCCATTAAATTTCAGCATATAAAAGTGCAAGTTTGAAGTAGCTAGGACTTACCGTTAATTTTTGTAATTTTTTTCTGATGGGGTTGGGCATTTTCATCCATACAAAATATGCTCGACGATTTTTTTTATATAAAAGAAAATGAGCAAGATCTTCAACAAAAAAAATTAAAAAAATCAACGGTAAGTCGTAGCTACTTCAATCTTGTAATTTATCGTACTGAAATTGAATGGGATATTGCACAAAGTTTGAAACCGGGATTTATATGGTTTTTATTAAAGAATAAACTATGTCTATAAAAAAATAATTACAATAAAATAACAAAAAATTATTAGTTAAAACTTGGCAATAGGTGGTGCGCTTATAATTTGAACACGGGGTGTATGTCCATACATATTTTTGTAGGTTAAAACACATTTGTTATGGATAACATTTTAATTCATAGAATTTTAATTCATTACATTTTAATTCATAACTTATCTTATTTGTATACTAGTGAATGTACATACATACATAAGTAATAATTGTTAAATGAAATAAAAATAAAATAAACAAAACGAATTCAGTCTTTCCATATACTTTTACTTTTAGAGATCTTTTTGCGTTTTGAGATCAACTTGTATATTACAACTAAACTCAAACAGAAAATGGGAGACCTGTCCGTTATTTAGGCCGTTTTCTAGAACATAGATTTTGTTTGAATTAAATTTGCAAAAAGTCTGTTTGTCTTCAATTTTTATAAACGAGTATAAAAACCTTGTACCTATAGTACCCCGCCAAACGATTAGAAACAGTATTCACTTGATTATATTTTCAAGTTTATCCGATTTTTCGAATTGTAATTATAATTTTATATAAATATAGTTAATATTACCGCTGAGGTGTAGTGGTAAGCAGTGCGCGCTTCCACTCCGCAGGACCCGGGTTCAAACCCTGGTCAAAGCAACATCGCAAAAAAAAATATAGAAAAAAAAGGTTTTTTCTTAACAGCGGTCGTCCGTCGGCAGGCAATGGCAAACCTCCGATTGTATTTCTGCCATGAAAAACAGCTTCTCATAAAAATACAATCGCCGTTCGGAGTCGGCGTAAAACTGTAGGTCCCTCCGCTTTGTGTGACAATATCAAGGCGCACGCCACAAGTCGGAGGAGAAGCTCGGCCAAACACTAACATATGTGTAAGCGCCAATCTATTATTATTATTAGTTAATATTACTGAATGTACTATATTTATATAAAATTATAATTGAAATTCGAAAAATCGGATACACTTAAAAATATAATCATGTGAATACTGTTTCTAATCGTTTGGCGAGGTGCTGTATTACACTTTTTACATTTGTTATTGGGCCGTATGAATAAAAATAAGCAATTGCTTTTTCTTAAAATTTCAGATCTTTTACTCAATTTATTCAAACAAAATAGATTAACATTTTTTTTCAGTGGAGTTTAAGGAAACTTTACTTTCTAATAACTTAAAGAAATGTTACAATGCAAGCAAACGCTCTTTCCTACAGTTGTCCTCAAAATAATAGGAGTGCGATATTTTGATTTTGTGGACAACTGTACATCTATGCAACCATTAACATCATGAAATGAAAAATATAAATGGTATATATTGATTATTTTTGGTTATTTGACGTTTATTTATTTTATATTTATTATTAGATATTAAATAAACATACGAAAAATAGCCAAAACTATTCAAAATGTACCGTTTCTAATTTTTATTCAACTAGTATACCTACTATTTTGTACATATATTCAATTTGAAAAAATTGTACTTCACTACTTGTATTAATACGTTTGAATGTTTATAGTGCAAGTTTTGGCTAGCTCGTCATACACTAAAGCAATAACTTTGCTTTCTATTCTGCTGATATCTACCTGTGGCCAGCGGGATTCGGATATTTTCCTCGCCAAACTTTCAAACAATAATGAAGTAGCGTATCGGTCTTTTTCACTTGGGTATGTAACAAGCTCTTTTACGGTTCCTACACACTCCTTCATCGCTTCCGAAAACACTGCTGTTATTTCTGAATCTGCTTGCTTCTTCCTAGTTTTTTTCTGTGGTGGTTCATATACGATGTAATTTTTTCATCTTCAATTAGTGCGGGTGCAGTCTCTATGATACTCGTCGATGAAGAGTCAAGTACATTCTCAAGCTCGCTTTCATTTAGGGTTACATTTCCGACAGTTCTACAAAAAATATTAACATTAAAAATAGAAACAGATCTTATTTTGGGTACGGTTTAGATATTTGCCCAATGATTTCGGGCTATTGTGTCCGAATGGGTGACCCGATCCAAAACAATTTCACACGCTTGTAGTCAGGAGTCTTAACTTTATTTTAAACCCAAATCTTGTATTTTTGGATCACTAATCGGTTTTTAATTTTCGGTGTGACTTATACAAAGTTTCAACTGTGTTCTTTCTAATGGGTTGGATATTAAAAGCCACGCCCCTTCCACCTCCACCCGCTCACCCAAAAACAGTGGGCAAATAACCAAACATTCGCCCTTATTTCAAGAAGGTAACTTACGGTCGGGCATCTCTGTAATTATCAAGAAAACTTAGCGCTTGCATATACCACCATTTCTTTGCTGGACTTGGTGCTCCACTGCCGGAGGCCAGTTGAGAAACGCGTTTATGTTTTTTATAAGTATCGCGAAGTCCCTTCCAACGTTTCTTGCATGCTTCTCCTAGAAAATATAAACAATTTTTATAGCTACAATAGATACATTAAACTCAAAGTTTTACTCACCGGACATATTTACGGACTTGGCAATTGCTTCCCATATTTCAGCTTTTTTGTATATGTTTTTGTACAAATTCGATGATAAATCGTAGGCACTCATTTTTCCTCACTTCTTCTATTATAATTTCGTTAACGTCCATTTTAATTTTTGCGGTTGGCAAATGCTTAAAATTTTATTTCCAAAACCAATTGGCAAACTTTGAGTTTATTTACTTCGAATGCTGTCCGCTGATAAGGTGACCATGTTTCAAGAAGGAAGCTTTTACAACGAAGAGGGAAAATACCAGCAAGAAGTTTAAAATATAGAAATAGTCTTTAAATATAACTACTAGTAAACTTACGTTTTACTAGATTAATCTCTGATAGAAAAATATAAGGTATATTATTTTAGTTTTTAACAAAAATTACGATAACTTTTAAAGTATGGTCATCATGGCCTTTTTTTGTCGTTGCCGTTGACCGCGGCGATAGAAATAAATCTATCGTCGCGAACAGTCGTCGAGCAAACTTCGTCGTTTGCTTTGGTTTTGCGCGTTCTCATATAAATCAGTGTGTTTTAATTATTTCGGCGAACATTCGCGACGAAAAATTTGCCGTTCGCCGGTGTTGTGCTTCAGCTTAAACCATTTTTATTATTGCTCGCTGCCTATGCTTAGCAAACAGTTCTCAGCGCTTCGGGGCACATCCAAGTTTTCGCTACGTAAAATTGGTAGCAACTCTTCAAAACTTTCCCGTGATGGTTTATTTTTAATGAACCATTTCGTCAGTTTTTCTTTTGCACTAGGTTCTTTATTTAAAACGCTACTTTCAATGTTAGCACTTGCCTGAACTCTATATCACTGTGCACTTCTGACTCTCCTATTAGGGATGGGTAAATTCGATATTCGAAGCTTCGATATTCGAAGCTTCGATATTCGAATTTTAATCGAATTTTAGCTCCAAAATGGCGAATTTTTGAAATCGAACTTTGTGTTGCTAAAATTCGGATAAAATCGAATTTTTCTAGAACAAAATCGAATTTCATCATTATTTCCAAAAAAAATCAAATCTTCAACTTTATTCTTTCTGACTAAATTTGTCAACACTGTGTGTAGCACTCCATTTGTCTTAGGGATTCAAGTAAAAAAAATAATATAAAAAAACTTTTTAATATACAACGCTTTTATAAA